CTAAACCCCAAAAGCCCTGAAACCCTTAATTCCTAAACTGAAGGCCCCCTGCAGTCTTCGGAGCCGGCCCAGTGTAGCGAGGACTCTTGCCCGGAAGAAGCGAGGACGGCCTGCATTCCAGGCCGCTTGGCGCAGTTGTTGCCGCCGCTACGAGACGAAAATGACGGGTTTAGGGTTTAGGATTTAGGGAATTCAGCATAGACCTGCCAAGAGTAAGCAAACAGATGTTGGTCAAACACATGAAGCTTTCAACCCCTTTTTTCCGGGAAATATGGATCTCGACAATTCAGTCCCGTGATTCTTCAACCTGCAGAGGTATGCCAAGTGATGCGCAAGCACCAGGCGCATCGGATTTGGGATCTGCATCAGGGTCCACTTGTTTCTGGTCCTCCCATGACTGTGAACCTATAATAGACTTTCATACCAGTAACCTGCAGAAGGAAAACCTCAAACCCTATGTAGTCTCAGAACCGAGTTCTCACCTGTGCAGTCTCGTCAGCACGCTCCAGCTTGGGACGTGGTCATGTAGTCACGCCCGAGTTAACAATACGGTACCGTGACAGCTCCCTAAACGTAGGTCAACATCCTGACAGAATGCAGATTTATTCAAGATGTCCGACATCTGGAGGTTGCGCCGCAGACAGCCCACTACAACCAGGTCCTGATCGCCTGTCGCACAACTCCGCCAGCCGTGCTGACTTACTCGTCATTTCAGCCATTGCATCGGTTGGCTGCCAGGTGCCCTACACAACGCTTAAATCACTGAACCTTGCAACCTCACCGCCCAGTAAAAGTATTTTATACTACCGGATCCCTCAATAATTTTTAGCGCGCAACCCTCTAATGTAGGGGCCTCAATTCTCACCTATTACCATCATAATTATAGTATAATGGGCCNNAACCCTATTCAAAGTATTAAGGCCCACACTCCCCGCCCACGGTGCGAAGCTTCAAGTGCTACGCTGTGCAGGATTTGTCTTTCCAGGCGTTGCCTGCGCTTTGAGCTCAGGTTTGGAAGCTCCTCACATGTCTGTCAGCCTCCCCACAGTAGGGTTTAGGGTTTAGGG